CTCCCACGCCTGAGCTGGAGCCCAAGGAGGACAAGGATGAGGACTCCACAGCCCAACTCAATGGCTCCACGCCCGCCCGGTCCAAGTCTGAGCCCCGCAGCCCCAGAATGGAGCGGCCCGACAGCCCGGCCTCTTGTGGGCCCCCCAAAAGGCTGAAGGCCGAGGCGGTGCCCAGCTGACCAGCGGGCCGGGGAGGGTGGGGTTTTCTAGGAACTGCGTGTGTCGTCACGGCGTCTCAGGGACTTGGGACTCTGGACGCCAAGAGCTGCGGCCCCGGCTTGGGGCATCCAGCAGTGCCCGGGAGCAGCCACAGCTCAAGCTGCCAGCCCAGGTGCCCACTGCCCCGCCAGGCTCCAGCCTCTGACTCAGGATGTGACAAGAGGGGCCGGACCCTCCTGGTTTCCAGCCCACGCGGGATCCGTACCCTGTGGCCCCCAACGACCTCCAGGACCCCTCCCTCGGGTCTGAATCTCCCCAAAGCCACCTTCATGGACCTCCAGGAGGGGACCACAGAGGCAGGCACCGGCTTCCTGCAGAGGCTACCAAGGCAATAAAAACAGCTGTCCTACATCAAGTGTGTTTGACTCCTCTGTGTGGCCAGGCCAGGCGGCCTGTGCCTGTCATCCCAGCTACCCAGCAGGACCAGGTAGGAGAACGGCAAGTTCAAGGTCAGCCCTGGTACCTTATCCAGACTCTGTCTCAATAAAAAATAGAAAAGGCAAAAAAGCCCAGCACTCGGGAGGCTGAGGCAGGAGGATCGCTGTGAGTTTGAGACCAGCCTGGGCTACACAGTGAGTTCCAGGTCAGTCTCAACTATATAGTGAGACCGTGTCTCAGAAAACCAAAAAAGAAAAAGAAAAGGCTGTGGGTGGAGCTCAGTGCGAAGGCCCTACGTGTTTCCTCATCCGTTCATGGGTGCCTCTACTTGTAGACACCCTTGAAGGGTCCCTGGGTCCACCCGCTGCCACCCCAGCCGAGACTGGGGACCCGGCCTGTACCTCCCACCCCTACCCAGGCCAGCCCTTCTCTGGGGGGACCTGGGAAGCCCTCATCCCACCCAGGCCAACTGGGTTCTGTCAAAATACTTTATTCAAGCTTGTGCAGTCTTAGAAAAGGTGGGTGCCTGTGGCTGTGTCCAGAAAGGTTCACGGGGGGCTGGGGTGCTTCTCAGACTCTCCTTTGAGTGTCCACTTGGGGGGCCTCCGTCAGTCCCCGGGTTCAGCTGGGGTCCCAGTGGGACTCTGGCCTCCAGCCCCCTGGGTCTGCTGCTGTACTGGTCCTGGGGTGCTCAGAGCTCCTCCCCTGCCGGGCTCGGCCCTGGCTCTGGTACCGCCCAGCCCAGCACGGCGGCCCGGCCCAGATCGCCTGTCACATTGCCCAAGACCAGGCTGGAGTTGTCTGGCTCCTCCGTGGCATTGACCACATCCAGCCTGTCCAGGAAGGCCCCCCAGTCTCCCCCCAGGCCGCCGGGGGCCTCTCTGTGGGGTGCGGCAGGGTTCTGCGGGGAGCCAGGGGCCTCGGTGCCTGGTGCGATTTCCCCCGGGGCCACACGCGAAGCCCCCTCGTTGTGCAGCGTCCTGGAGAAGACTGAGTGGAGTCAGGGGTCAGGAGGGATGGGACGAGGACTGGAGTCCTGTCACTTTCCTGGGAGTCTCTGTGCCCCAGGGACTGAGGGCGCAGGGGGATGGGACCTGCGGGGAACCCCTGAGGGGAGATCGTTTTTAAATACGGGGGACGGAGCCCAGGGCCTTCACCCCGAGCTCCCTCCTCAGTCTTTTTTTTGGGGGTACTGAGGCAGGCAGTAGCACCACTGAGCTAAATCAGTGGCCCCCCCAGCCCTTTTTATTTAGGGTCAGGGTCTTGCTAAGTTTCCAACCAGGGAACCTGTGATCCTCCTGCCTCAGCCTTCCAGAATGCTGGGAGGACGGGCGTGTGCCAGGCCCCAGGAGAGGGCCACCTACCTCGCGTGGGCGCAAAGTCCCCAGAGCTCTCGCTTTTGCCGAAGGCAAAGGGGCTGATGGAGGGGAGGATGATTAGGGCGAAGGACAACACCAGGACCTGCGGGAGACGGCCAGGGTCAGCCATCCGGCCCTCCCCTGAGCGCGCACATCACCCGGGAGGGAAACGGGCGTGGGAGACAGGATCAAGCTGGACCCTAACCCTCCTGTGGCGTCACCCCGTCCTACACCCGCTCTGCCAAGATGAGACCCCCCCACCCCGTGCCGGGGCAGGACTTACGGCTATGCAGGTCCCCGTCTGGGCAGACTTGCTAGTGGACTGAACCACGAGAGCTTGGAGTTTCTTCAGCTGCTCCAAGAGGGACCTGGGAGGAAGGAGAGGGCTCGGGTCTCACTGCACAGCCCAGGCCAGCCTTGGACTCACAGTGATCCTCATGCCTCAGCCTCCTGAGGGCTGGGGGAATAGGCGTGCACCACCACGCCTGGCCAAAGTTTCCATTGTAATTGAGGTCAAAGCTCAAGTCCTCCCTGCAACCCATAGGGCCCTGCACGGCCCACAGTCCCCTCCCCAACTCCCCTTACCCCCCCTTTGGCAGCCTCGTCAGGATCTGTGCTGCCCCAGGGCCTTTGCACAGCCATGCCATTATTCCAAAGACCCTGCTCCCCCAGATACTTCTGTAGCTGGTTTCTTCCCCTCGTCCTTTGGGTCGATCTGTAAAATGTCACCTCAGCAAAGCTGCTGGACTTCCCTGTTTACAGCAGCCCCTCCTCACTCTAACACCTGACCTCACTTGGCTTTTCTCCCGAGTGGGACTCTCATTTAGGATTTTGTTCATGGTGAGCACAGCACACTCTGTGCACCATGCACCCTTTCTGTGGACAGACCGTGTCTGCTGCTTAGTTTCTTGTTGGGGTCCCAGTGCCCAGAACTGTGCCAGCTAAATGAACATAGATAAGCAGGTGCACCTCCTCTGTTAGAGTGACAGAATAGGGTGCAGCCCCCAGCACTCCTCACTGCCAGCCTCTGGCTGCTGTCTACACCGTTTCCACCATCTTCTCCCTAGTAAACTCTTACACACCCGTCAAAGCCCCAAGTCTAAATCCCCTCCTCTCTGCAGCCTTCGTCCTTTGGAGGTGGACCCCTTATTCTCTCCTCTTTCCCACCACCTCACAGACCCTCTGCCTTTCACCCCACTCTCCTTCAGGACCCTCGGGCTGCTCCCCCTACCCTGTCCTTGGCCCCAGCTGTACAGAGACTCACAGATTCTGCTTCTCCAAATGCGAGACCTTCCTCTGCAGCTCCTGGTTCTGGGCGGTGCAGGCTGACATCCTGCAGGGATGTGACATTCCGAATGCGCCTGTCACCCACTGGCCCCACTAGGCCCACTTCACACCCAGAGCACCCAAGGGCAGAGACAGGAAGTCATTTGTCAAGAGCCACCCAGCAAGGCTTTGACACGGCCAGGATTGAGTCTCACAGTGGTGCTACCCAGGTTGGCCCCAAACTCCTAGACTGCAGCAATCCTCCTGCCTCCGCCTCCTGAATAGCTAGGGTGACAGGTACATGGCTGCTTAGGACCAGGATTTAAAGGCAGGTCTGTTGGTTTCTAAGCCCCACCTCTGCACTGGGGGCAGAGACCATCGAGGCATAGCCCCCGGATTGGGAAAGGTGCCAAACTCACAGCAATGCTTCTGGAAGACGGGCTCAAAGGAGACCATATTCCAGCTGGCCCTCCCTGGGACTGTGGGCCACTTGATTTCGGGTCTCAGTCCCCTCATCTATAAAATGGGGGCACAGCTGGGCATGGTGGTACCTGTTTATACTCCCAGAACTAGGGAGGCTGAGGCAGGAAGGTCCCAGGTTTGACCCCAGCCTGGGCAATTTAACAACTTATTGAGGCCCTGGCTCAAAAATAAAAGTGCCTGGGGGTATAGCTCAGTGCTAGAGTGCTTGCGTAACAGGTGCAAGGATCTGAGTTCAAGCCATAGTACAAATATATATATAGAAAGACCAAAAAAGAACAATAAAATATACAAACCCCTGGTGAGGCTGATCAAAAAGTACAAGACAGAGAGGAGCGCAAATAAACAGTACGAGGAATTTTAAAGAAATAACTGTAGGCACTGCATAGATTAAAAATAATAGGAGAGGGCTGGGGATTTAGCTCAGCGGTTCGGTGGTCTGCCTTGCAAGCGCAAGGACCCGAGTTCAATCCCCAGTACCAAACAATTAAAAAAAAAAAATAGAGCCGGGTGTGATGGCGCACGCCTATAATCCCAGCACTCGGGAGGCTGAGGCAGGAGGATTGCTGTGAGTTCGAGACCAGCCTAGGCTACAAAGTGAGTTCCAGGTCAGTCTCAACTACACAGTGAGACCCTGTCTCCAAACAAACAAACAAACAAAACCAAACAATCAGGAAGACGGGAAAACAATAGGCCTACACCACTCAGTAAAGTTATTCTTGGGTTAAAAAGAATGTTTCCTTCTTCATTTTCTTTTTTTTTAACCCTGGGGATTGAATTCAGGGCCTTCACACTGAGCTGCATCCCTAGCCGTTTGTGTGTGTGCGTTTCACGTTAAGACAGCGTCTCACTAAAATGCCCAGGCTGGGCTCAGCCTCCCGGATCTCCGGGAGGACTGATGTGCACCACCAGGCCAGGCTGGCACCGCATCTCTATCCAGGGCAGGAAGTGTCCCTGAAACCCTCCCTAGGCGTCGCTGCCGCCCTGTGATCGGTGTGAAAACTGGGCTCTCCTAGAGAAGAAAGGTAAGACCCTCCACCTGCGACCTTAGCCACACGCGTTCCTCTTCCCAGCTCTGCGTTTCCCCTTGAGTGTGCAGTCCAGGCCCCGCCATTACCGAGTCTCCAGGCCATCAATATACTCCTTCTTCTTTTTCCTGCTTTCTTGGGCTGACTGTTTGTTGCGGATTTTCCTGCGGATCTTTTTCAGCACGCGCTCCTCATGCTGCACAGTGAAATGGGGTGGAGGCAGGGTCAACGGGTGTCCCCGGTGCTTATTTTATTTTTAATTTTAACGTAGGGTCTCGTTAAATGCCCGAAGCCGTGTTCAAACTTGCATCCTCCTGCCTCAGCCTCCGCGAGGGCCGGGGTGCACCTGGCGGGAGGGCACCACAATCACATGACGTTAACAAAAGCCAACCGCGTTGGCCTTGGTGCCGCAGCGCCACCATGTGGCCACCTCCGGGATCGGCACCTTGCCGTAGTCAGCCCGTTAGGACTCATTGGTCTACAAACCTAGGAGCAAAGACAGCCTTGGCAGCCTATAATTCTGTAATCTCAGCGCGGAGGCACGAGGACTGCCCCATGTTCAAGGCCAGCCTACGCCACTTAGTGGGTTCAAGGCCAGCCTGGGCTACCAAGATCCTGTCTAAAAAAATAATAAGTTGGGCGGGGTGGCGCACGCCTGTCATCCCAGCACTGGGAGGCTGAGGCGGGAGGATCGCTGTGAGTTCGAGAGCAGCCCGGGCTACACGGTGAGTTCCAGGGCAGCCTCAGCTACGTAGTGAGACCCTGTCTCAAAAAACCAAAAAAAAAACTGAAAATAAATAAGTAACGTACACAAGAGCAAACAGTGGAGTGTTGGTACTGAAAGCAACAAGCCTGGGCTGGGGATTTAGCTCAGTGGTTCCGCCACCTGCCTCACAAGGGCAAGGTCCTGAGTTCGATCCCCAGTACCACCAAAGAAAGAAAGGGACAAGCTGGTGGGGCTGTGGCGACCTAGAGAGTCCAAGCAGCTCTTCAACCATCAGCTGGTGCATGTGGTTAATCTGGCAACAGCAGGCTACAGGCGCTGAATTTGTATGTGCCACTGCCTGATCAGAAAAACATTAGCAACCAATTCAAGCACTGCTAAAATGCCCAAGATTCTAATGAAAACATGCCCAGGGGCCATACCTGGATGCAGGACACTTGCTTTGTAAGCTGTGGTGTAAGCGGGGCGAAAGAAAGTCATGGCAAGACGGGTACAATGGAGCACACGCATCATCCCAGCACTCTGGGAGGCTGAGGCAGGAGGATCTCAAGTTCAAACCCAGCCTGGGCAATTTAGCTACTGAGTGACACCCTCTGTGCTGCGAACTCTGGATTGAATTTAGGGGGGGACCTCTGGCTGATTTTGTGGCTCTGGAGACAGATGTGTTAAAGTCTGAGTGTACACAGCCTAAAGGGGAGTCCCATAGGCAGGTTGCAGGAAAGCTGGGGCCAGGGTGTCCCCACGCACCTTGGTGAGGGGCAGCTGGGTAGGCAGGGTGACCCCCTCCTTGGCCAGCAGCTTCTTCTCATCTTCAGTCAGCACCAGCTCCTGACAGTGGCCGTTCCCAGGTCGCAGGAGGTGGGCAGCAGGCAGGTGCTGCTGCTGCTACAGAAAGAAAAAAACAAAAAAACAGGGGATCTCTTTGGACGCAGGGACTGAGCAGGAGCCTGGGGCCAGGAAAGAGGCAGCGAATCTGAGGAACTTTCAACCCATCAGCTGCAGAATCTCCACAGCGACAGGGTTCTAAATACCCACACGCGGGTTCGTGACGCGGCCGCCGGCCTGATTCCCCGAACGGAACCTACAGCCTCCCTGCCAGGGGCCAGGGCGCATGCGCAGAAGCTGTTCGCAAAAATCACTCGACAGCTACCTCCTGAGCACCTACTGCGGGCCCTCATTGTTCCAGGCCGGAGACCCTCACTGCTGCTCCGGGCCAGTGCAAGGCAATGACGGGAAGCCAGGCAAAGAGAGAGCACGTTGGGTAAGTAAAGGCCCGTGTGTGCCGAGAACCCAGGACTACACGGAGCGGGGAAGGAAGAGCGCCACCTCGTGCCAAGACGGCGCCATTGCTGAGATGAAGCTCAGGGTAAGAAAGGAGCTGGGCGTGGTGGTGCACACCGTCATCCCAGCACTCGGGAGGCTGAGGCAGGAGGATCCCCATTCCAAAACCAGCCTGGCCAACTACGTCACTTAGCGAGACCCTGTGTCCAAATAAAAAATGAAAAGGGCTGGGGATGGAGCTCCGTGTTGAGGCCCTTGGTTCAATTCCCAGTACCACAAATGAGTAAAGAAATTAGCAAAGTGTCACATGCAGTATACTACATTTTTGTTTTGGTTTTTTGAGATAAAGTCTCACTATGTAGCCCAGGTTGGGCTGGAACTCACAGTGACCCTCCTGCCTCAGCCTTCTGAGTGCTGGGATAACAGGTGTGCACTACCGTACCCAGCATGTCTAATTAAGATGGCAAAAATTCTCCTATCTTCAGGGTGCCTGTGAAACTAAAGATAATAGATCAAAAGCATTCAGGCTGGGGTATGGTGGCACATGCCTGTAATCCCAGCACTCAGGAGGCAGAGACAGGAGGATCGCTGTGAGGTCAAGGCCAGCCAGGGCTAATAGAAAGACCCTGTCTCAAAGAAAACAAAACAAGCCAGGAGTGGTGGTGCAAGCCTGTAATCCCAGCACTCAGGAGACTGAGGCAGGAGGATCATTGTGAGTTCGAGACCAGCCTGGGCTACACAGTGAGTTCCAGGTCAGTCTGAACTACATAGTGAGACCCTGTCTCAAAAAACAAAAAACAAAAAACAAAAAAAAAAAAGAAAGAAAAAGAAAAACAAAACAAGCACGGGCCACCATGCCTGACTTATCTGATTTATTTTTCATTTTTTCCCTCTGGTCTTACCTACAGTGGACAGTGGCCCAGGCTAGGGGAAAGTAACGGACCAGAACGGGCAGCCACTGGCTCGTCTGTCACTCTGGGCTGATGATCCCTGTCCCCCTCTGTGACTTGTGCTTCCAGGCTCTGAAGCCAGATGTCAGAGTCCCTGAACCGCCCACTCGGACAACCAGGGTTCTCACCGGGTCCCCGCTGCCACCAGCCAGCAGGAGCTCCTTGACCGTCAGGTCGAAGCAGGAGGGCGAGCTGGCCTGCTGCCCTGGGTAGAGGGCTCCCGCGCTCCACATGTCTGCAGGGTGAAAGGACCAGACAGGGGGAGGTGAGGCGGGCTGCCTCACCCCCAGCCTCTCCCCGCCACCCCAGCAAGTGTCCATCGTTGTCCTTGATGCCTGCCGGCCTCTGCCACAGCCTGGGGTCCCCAGGGCCTGGGTCTAAGGGGAAAAGCCTCAGTTTCCCCTGGCTGTCAGACAGAATCCAAATTCACCCTGGCACACCTGTGTCTGTTCTACGGGATTAAAGAAAGTACAAGACATTAGCCCCGAGTGGAGAGACACACGCCTGTCATCCCAGCACTCTGGGAAGCTGAGGCAGGAGGGTGCCAAGTTCCAGCCAAGCCTGGGCAACTTAGTGACTTAGTGAGACCCTGCCTCAAAACATAAATAAAAAGGGCTGTGAAAGTCCTGAGCAACACAAATACAACCTTTAAGAAATACCTGGCACCATTAGAGGATCCATTAGGCACCCAGAAAGGAGAGGCTGGGCAGGGACCAGGTCTGATTCGCCCCAGCTCCATCCCTTCTGGTGCCTGGCACATAATAAGCTCACAGCTTTAAGCACACACTCAGGCCGGTGGCCTTGCTTGGATCCCGACTGGGCAGAGCTGGGCGACCTTGGGTGAGTGACTTCCGGTCTCTGAGCCTCCGCCCGCCTCACCAACTCACCAGTAAGGAGGCCCGTAAGAGCCCTTCACTAGTAAGGGACAAAGGACACTCAATGGCCACGTATCTCCACCAGGGCTCTGCCTGGCCCATCAGGGATGTCTCGATGTCCCAGGAGTAAATCATTATTGATCTGTCATCTGATACGGCCTGAGCTGCAGTCTAGGGGAGCAGCCGGAGGCCAGGGTACCCCGTAATCTCTTGCCCTTTCTTTTTTTTTTCTTTTTTGAGGTGCTGGGGATGGAACCCAGGGCTTTCACACACTGAGCTCCATCCCAGTCCTTTTTTCTTTATTATTTTGAGACACGTTCTCACTAAGTGACCAACTTGCTTGCACTTGGGACCCTCCTGCCTCAGCCTCCCCAATAACCGGGATAATAGGTGTGTGCCATCACACCCACCTTGGTTCTTGCTTAACCTCAGGGGTCTCTGTTACCCCATCTCCAGAACAGGCCTCAGGAGGGGAGTGACATCTGGGTCTCTCTGTCCCTCCCAGGGTGACTCACCCAGGTCTATGGCCACGGAGGACTCCGGCACCTGTGTCCTGGGGGACCTGGCAGGACCTGGAGGATTGGGAAGGTAGGAAGGGCAGCTAGCTAGGGTGGTGCCTGGCCCTCCACTGCGTGGAGGGCTGTCCTGGGGGTCAGAGGGCAGGTCCTCGGAGAGGCCGCTGTCACTGCCCGCAGGGGACCAGGTCGGGGAGCTGGGGGCTGAGTCACCAGGGCCCAGGATGGAGCTCAGGAAGTCATCGGAGTCTGACCCGGGCAGCGCCTGCAGGAGACAGGTCAAGGGGTGGGACTGAGGATCGCTGTGTGACCTCGGGCAAACAGCCGACCCTCTCTGGACCTCGCGTCCTTTCTCAAGCGGGAGCTCAGGGAACACCCAGGAGCAAGGCAGGAGCCCCGAGCTTGGACTCGGTTCCGGCCTGGGAGAGGTTGGTGGTTCTGAATGTCTAGACACCAACGCGCTTCGTTCCTGTGGAGCACGGGTGGGCCAAGCGGGGTCACCTGGTCCTCGGCAGCAGGGGCCCAGCCCTCAGCCAGCTCCACGTGTCGCAGGATGCCGTCCTGCCGGTCAAAAAGGAGGTCCAGGAGCTCCAGGCTGTCGATGGGACCCACGGCACAGGTGGGCGACGCCATCTAGGGGGAGGGGACAGGTGTGAGGCCCACAGCCCCCACCCTGCAGCTCCACAACCTGGTGGCAGGAGACCAGCTTCTTTTCTTTTCTTTCTTTTGTTATTATTTGCAACACTGGCGATGGAAGCCAGGGCCTTCGCACTGAGCTCCATCCCCAGCCCTTTTCTATTTTTCACTTTGAGACAAGGTCTGGCTAAGTCACTGACTTGCCCAGACTGGGGTTGAACTTGGGACCCTCCTGCCTCAGCCTCCCAAAGTGTCAGGATGACAGGTGTGAGGCGTCACACCCGAGAACGGGTTTCATTATGATAGCTAGAGAGAGGGACACCACGGAGCCACCCTCTCTCGACTGCTCTCTCTGGCCTCAGTTTCCCATCTGTGCCATGGAGCTGCAGCCCCTCTCATGGGTCCCCTCCCTCACGGCCCCCGGTAGGACTCACTTTGCCAGCTGCTAAATCCCCATCCGTGGGCCCGGCAGGCTATGCTTGAAGACGTCCTGGGTTCCTCCTCGGAGCTGAGGTCCCCTGGGTGGTGACTGTCACTCCTCTCTCTGCCCTGGTCACCACCCCTAAAGATGCTGAAATAGTGCCCAGGAGAACCCAGCCCGGCCCCTGGTGCTGAGTGGTGGACAGGCTTGATGGACAGGACGAAGGGCCAGTGAGCAGGGGCAGGCAGGGGAGGGGCGGGAAGACCGTTATCAGGGTGTTTTGTGCTTTGGCAGCGGGCGGTGGGCAAAGACCAAAGTCTGGGCGTCTAGGTGCTGCCATGACCTATTCCCTACTTACGGGGATTGTTGCTCTCCAGTATCACCGGGTGTCTGTCCCTCAGAGCCCAGGGTCCCTACAGGGGTCCTGTCTACTCCCAGCACAGACCAGGATGAAAAAATTTGGTCCCTCTGCCTTGAGTTCTCTTCTGGCTCCCTCACTGGTGACGACCCTCTGTCCACTTTCCAGGATCAGCTCAGCCATCGCCCTCCTTGTGTCCCCCACTGCCCAATCCCCACAATCAATTTCTTCTCGAAGCATCTGTTGTTCATTTAATCAACAAATATTTACTGAGCTAAACATTTCCTGCCCCAGGGCCTTTGCACTTGCAGGTTCCTCTGCCTGGAAATGCCCTCTCACCCCCTACTTGGCTCTGTGTCACGATGGTGCCAGATTTGAGAATATTTGCTATTTAATGAATCAAAGACAGCTGAGGGGCCACCTCTGCTGCCCCCAGGAAAGGAGCCCCTGTCCCTACCCTGTTTATCATATCAGCACTTTCCCTGAACCCTCGATTCTTTGAAATTTTCTTCATTTGCTTTTTGTCTTCTCTCATTCTCATATTTACTCTCTCTCTCTCTCTCTCTCTCTCTCTCTCTCTCTCTCTCTCTCTCTCTCTCTTTCTTCCTCTCCCTCTCTCTCTGAAACAAGGTCTCTCAATGTAGCTCAGACTGGCCTCGAACTCACAGTGATGCTCCTGCCTCAGCCTCCCGAGTGCACCTGTGAGCCCATCTTGTTCTTGTCTCCCAGCTGCCTGCGGCCATGGTACCCGCAATCTGCCAGCTCTTCCCTCAGAATGTAGTCACCCCTTGCCCCTCTGCCACCAGCTTCCTAGTCCATCCCACTCCCCGTGCCCATTATAAAGGCTGGCCCCGTGCAGTCTCCTCCTCCTCCTCCTCTTCCTCCCCACGTCTGCCCTCTCCTCTACCCCAGTCTTCTCCACTTACCGCGATTCACAAGGCTCTGCATGCGTTTTGCCATCTCCCTTATATGTGCTATAGTTTCGCCCTTGAACGTCCCGAAAAGGCCCTTGGTCCTCAACTTGGTGCTATTGGGAGGTGGGCCTTTAAGAGGTGGGGCCGGTGAGAGGAAGTGAGGTCATGAGGGCGTGGCCTCAGAGGGCCTATTAGTACCTCCTCCCCGCAGCTTCCCCCTCCTCTGCTCTCACGCCTCCTTCGGGGAGTGGTTTGCTTCTGAAGTGTGTGTTGCCACAGGCTTAAAAGCAGCAAAGCTGACAGTCCATGGAATTGGACCTCCAAAACTGGGCCAGAATACACCTCTGCTCCTTATAAGCTGTTAAATTCAGGTATTTGTGACAGTAATAGAAAGCTGACTAGCCCACCATCTTAGCGTCTCTGTCCAGTATTCCACACACGGCACGGTCCTGTCCCAGGACCTTTGCACTTGCTGTTCTCTGCTTCTAGGACCCTCTCTCCTGGATCTCCCTGTGGCTGACTCCTTTCACTTTCAAATCTCTGCTCAAGAATCGGGGGTGTAGCTCAGTGGCGCTGCGCCTGCCTGGCAAACACAAGGTCCTGAGTTCAATCCCAGGTATTGGGGTGAACAACAAATCTCTGCTCAAATTCAGATCCCAATTTAAACAACAGCAACAAAACAGCTCCCCCAGGAAGCCGTCCCTGACTACCTGGCCTGGCTTGGCAGTGCACACCTGTAATCCCAGCGCTTGGAAGGCTGAGGCAGGAGGATCACACAAGCTCAAAGTCAGCCTGAACTGTATAGCGAGATGCTGTCTCAAAAAAACCAAATGGAAAAAAAAGAGTGGACTTTTTCGAGACAGTGTGGTCTTTGTTTTGTTTTGTCTTTTTGAGACAGGGTCAGTGTAGTTCAGGCTGGCCTTGTTATGCAGTCCAGGCTGGCTTCGAACTCACAGCTATTCTGCCTCAGCCTCGAGAGTGCTGGGATGTCAGGGATACGCAATCACACTGGGCTCAGGCTGGGCTTGAACTCACTGTGTAGTCCAGATTGGCCTTGAACTTGCAGCAATCCTCCTGCTTCAGCCTCCCAAGTGCTGGGATTATAGGTGTGTGCCCCCACACCTGGCAGAAAAAGAGAGAGCCCTACTGTGTGCCGGATCCCATCTCTAGAACCATGCCTGCAATACAGCTGCTGCCAATGAATATTTGTAGAAAGAAAGGTCAAATGTCTGTAAATATAGTTTAGCATAGGGGGTCCATGGACAACTATAACCCTTGGGCAGTTCTGGCCCTCCGCTTGTTTTTCTAAATAAAACTTTATTGTCACATAGACATGATTCTGTGTCTACATTGATTGTAGCTGCTTTCAAGGTGCAATAGCTGAGTTGAGTAATTTTGGCTGAGACCATGTGGTCCTACCGAGCCAGAAATCTTAACTGTCTGGCTCTGGACCGACAAATTTGTTGGCACTTGGTTTAATGGATCAGACCTGCTCTTTTCAAGAAGCGGGTCATGTACTTGAGACTGTTGAATATTTAGAATCCAGAGAACTAACAGAAAAATATTTTAAATTTTATTTATTTGTCTATGTATTTGCAGTGCGGGGGATGGAACCCAGAGCTTCCAATAACCTAGGCAAGTGCTCAACACTGAGCTGCACCCGCTGCTCTTTTTATTTTTTATGTTGAGACAGGGTCATATTAAGTTGCCCAGACTGGGTTCAAACAGGAGAACCTCCCTCCTCAGCCTGCACAACTCAGTGGCTTAGCGAGACCCAGTCTCAACATAAAAAAATAAATAAAAGGGCGGCTGGGGATTTTGGCTCAGTGGTTCCGCTGCCTGCCTTGCAAGCACAAGGACCTGAGTTCAATCCCTGGTACCACCAAAAAAGGGGCGGGGGCTGGAGATGGAGATCAGTTCAGAGGCCCTGGGTTCAATCCCCAAGATCAAAAAACAACAAAATGCCGGGCGTGGTGTCACGCACCTGTCATCCCAGCTCTCAGGAGGCTGAGGCAGGAGGATCGCTGTGAGTTCGAGACCAGCCTGGGATACACAGTGAGTTCCAGGTCAGTCTCAACTACATAGCGAGACCCTGTCTGAAAGAACAAAATAAACAAAACTTGTGGCCGTCTTTGTGACTGTCACTATTATAACTCGTGGGCTCCTGAGAGAAAGCCGTACATCCCCCTGCAGTCTCCTGACAGTCGCAGACACAGGCTGTCCCTTCCCAGTGACCTTGGCCATTTGGCCTGCTCCTCTGGTCCCGTGAAGACAGTCGCGCCGCACACGTGAGGTCGGGGGGTCAGCAGCTCGGTGACTCGCGTCAGCTTGAGGTGGACGCCACACCTGGATGCCCGCTCCACACAGAGGCTGCGTTGGCTGCCATTTCACCTCCAGAGTCCTCTGTCTTCTCGTCCAAGGGCTATGGCCACTCTGCCCTTTGGGGACAATTCTGGGGGACAAGGGAGGCGGGAGTCCAGGGGGCAGTGGCTCCTCCCACCCCCACCTGATCCACTGGAGGGACACAGGGACAGGATATCTGAACTTAGGCTCCAGATGTCTCCACGAGGTGGCTTCCCTGGCTCTGTCCCTTCCCACAGAAGGGCAGACGTTGTGCCTGACAATCACTCACGCACCCGTTCATTCATCCACCCCCGTGACCGTGACTCATTAAGCGCTGTCGTGTGCCAGGTGCCAGGGACACAGCAGACAGCAGAACAGACACACTGTCCCCACCCCCTGCCCGGTGCAGCCGGCTTCCCAGTGCCAGGACAGAGACACAGTGAGACCATCCCTGTCAGAGCCGGGAGTGAAGTCAGATGCAGAGCAGGAAGCCAGGCAAAGTGGCTCACACCTGTCATCCAGCACTCTGGGAGGCTGAGGCAGGAAGATCGCAAGCTCACACCCAGCATGGGCACGTTGGTGAGACCCTGCCTCAGAAAAGAAAAAGGGCTGGGAGGTAGTTCAGTGTGACATCCCTGGATTCCATCCCCAGTGCTGAAAAGAGAGAGAGAGAAGGGAAGAAGAGAAAAGAAAAAAGAAAAGAAAAGAAAGCAGGAGCAGGGATGGGGAAGGCGGATGTAGCTTGCAGTTTAGCTCGGGCCGTAGGGAAAGCTTCTGGGAAGCCCCCCAGGGAGGCAGGAACATGTGTGGGGCCTGCGGAAACCCCGAGTTTGAAGGACCCTGGTGGACCCAGGGAGGCGGGGGCAGGAAGGTGACCTCATCCCGGGAGGAAGGGCTGGGGCTGAAGTGACCCCCAGAGTCAGCTGGTTCTGAAGGTTTCTACGTAAGCGGGATGGGATGCAGGTATGGACAGGCTGGGAGGCCCAGCGTGGGCACGCTGAGTTTTTCGCTTTCTTTTGGTTTGGTTTGGTTGTTTTGAGGCAGGATCTCCCTAGGTAGTTCAGGCTGCCCTTGAACTCATTGTGTAGTCCAGGCTGGAGATCCTCCTGCCTCAGCCTCCTGAGTGCCGGGGTGACAGGTGTGTGCCACCACGCCCAAAACACTGAGTTCTTTAAGCTGATGTCTGCAGCCCACAACAAGGTGACTGCCCCTCTCTGGGAAAACGAGCCGGCCCCAGGGCAGTGTCCCGTGAGAGCAGAAATCTCTGACTCCACACAGAGGCTCTCCCCACCCACCGAGTCTAGGCAGCCTCTTCCTGCTGATTGCTTTATGGCCGACGGGTCCAAGGGTCACAGCGATACCTCCCAGCAGAGAGAAGAGGCCCCTAGTGGCCAAGGCCAGGGTCACCTCAGCACCCCCGCCGGGCACGGAGGGCGCAGCCCGACATCCAGCGCTCTGGGAGGCTGAGGCAGGAGATCCCAAGTTCAAGCATAGCCCAGGTCGTCTGGTGACTCTCCAAGCCCCCGTCTCAAAATTAAAAAGAAAAATCGCCTAGGGTTGTGGCTCAGTGGGGAGGACCCTGGGTTCAATCACCAGAGCCGAGCTTGGGGAGGGGGGGACACGGAACGAATCCAAAGAGTTTTTTATTTGGGACTGAACAGGAAGCCTGTGGCACAGCAGCCTGTGGCCAAAAGAACCTGTCAGGCGTTTCTGTTTTGTTTCCCTGCGGTGCTGGGATGGAATCCAGGGCCTCCCCTCCGGGCTGGTGCTCACCATTTAGCCACAGCCCCGCCCCCGCCCCAGAGGAAGTTTTTCAGGGCCATTGCGGAGGATGACATAAATTATCTCGAAACATTAATCTTGGCTACCAGGATCAATAACAAAGGTGATAAGGCCAAGGGTGGTGGCACAGGGTCCTGAATTCGAGCCCAGCCCGGGCGACTTAGGAAGACTTGTGTCCCTAAATAAAAAAATAAAAATGGCTGGAGATGTAGCTCAGTGTGAAGACCCCAGGTTTCACTCACGGCACTGTAAATAAATATACACTTACGAAAGCACCCAGTGTGGTGGTGCACACCTGTCATCCCAGCACTCGGGAGGCTGAGGCAGGAGGATCGCTGTGAGTTCAAGTCCAGTCTGGGCTATCTAGCGAGACCCTGTCTTGAAATAAACAAATAAATAAAAGAGCGGAGAACATAAGTCAGAGGCCAGTGGTTGCCCAGCATGTGGGAGGGCCTCGAATCAACGACAACACTGAAGAAAAAGGAAAAAGAAAAAAGAAAGAACCTAAATCCCATCC